CGAATACCGCTCACGCTTGGACATAGAGCAGTTTTTCCGCCGCCTCCGCCTCCACGCTTACTTCTTTAACCGTGAACCTAACCCTCCCTCTACTGACCCCTTCTCCCGCTTCCAACACACCCCCTCCTCCTGGACACCACCCCAAGGCCTCCTACCCTCCCTCGACCTCTTCATCTCCAACTGCCGTCGAGACATCAATCACCTCAACCTCTCCACCCCTCTCACCCACTCCAACCTCTCCCCTGCAGAACGTGCAGCCCTCCGCTCCAATCCCAACCTCACCATAAAACCCACGGACAAGGGAGGCACAGTTGTAGTCTGGCGCACTGACCTCTACATCGCCGAGGCCGGACGCCAACTCTCCGACATCACCTCCTACCGCCCCCTTGATCATGACCCCACCCCTGAGCACCAAACCATCATCTCGCAAACCATCCACAACCTCATCACCTCAAGTGACCTCCCACCCACGGCCTCCAACCTCATCGTTCCCCAACCTCGCACTGCCCGCTTGTATCTCCTTCCCAAAATCCACAAACCTGAATGCCCTGGTCGACCCATTGTCTCCGCCTGCTCCTGCCCCACCGAACTGATCTCCAACTATCTCGACTCCATTTTCGCCCCCTTGGTCCAGGAACTCCCTACCTATGTCCGTGACACCACCCACGCCCTCCACCTCCTCCAGAACTTCCAATTCCCCGGTCCCCAACACCTCATCTTTACCATGGACGTCCAGTCCCTCTACACCTGCATTCCCCATGCAGATGGCCTTAAGGCCCTCCGCTTCTTCCTGTCCCGCAGGCCCGACCAGTCCCCCTCCACTGATACCCTCATCCGCTTAGCCGAACTCGTCCTCACACTCAACAACTTCTCTTTCAATTCCTCCCACTTCCTACAGACAAAGGGGGCAGCCATGGGTACCCGCATGGGCCCAAGCTACGCCTGCCTCTTTGTAGGTTACGTGGAACAATTCCTCTTCCGTACCTACACCGGCCCTAAACCCCACCTCTTCCTCCGTTACATTGATGACTGTATCGGCGCCGCCTCGTGCTCCCACGAGGAGCTCGAACAGTTCATCCACTTCACCAACACCTTCCACCCCAACCTTAAGTTTACCTGGACCATCTCTAACACCTCTCTCCCCTTCCTGGACCTCTCTGTCTCCATATCGGGCAACCACCAAGAAACCGATATTCATTTCAAGCCCACCGACTCCCACAGCTACCTAGAATACTCCTCCTCCCACCCACCTTCCTGCAAAAATGCTATCCCCTATTCCCAATTCCTTCGCCTCCGCCGCATCTGCTCCCAGGATGAGGCATTCCACTCCCGTACATCTCAGTTGTCCTCGTTTTTCAAGGACCGTAACTTCCCCTCCTCGGTGGTCGAGAACGCCCTCAACCGTGTCTCCCACATCTCCCGCACCTCATCCCACACACCCCGTCCACGCAATAAGAACCAAAAAAGAATCCCCCTCGTCCTCACGTACCACCCCACCAACCTCCAGATCCAACGCATCATCCTCCGACACTTCCGCCATCTGCAATCCGACCCCACCACCAAAGACATCTTTCCCTCCCCACCCTTATCTGCTTTCCGGAGGGACAACTCTCTCCGTGACTCCCTTGTCCGCTCCACACTCCCCTCCAGCTCCACCACACCCGGCACTTTTCCCTGCAACCGCAGGATGTGCTACACCTGCCCCCATACCTCCTCCCTCACCCCCATCCCAGGCCCCAAGAAGACTTTCCACATCAAGCAGATGTTCACCTGCACATCTGCCAATGTGGTATACTGCATCCGCTGTACCCGGTGTGGCTTCCTCTACATCGGGGAAACCAAGCGGAGACTCGGGGACCGCTTTGCAGAACACCTACGCTCGGTTCCCAATAAACAACTGCACCTCCCAGTCGCGAACCATTTCAACTCCCCCTCCCATTCCTCAGACGACATGTCCATCCTGGGCCTCTTGCAGTGCCACAACGATGCCACCCGAAGGTTGCAGGAACAGCAACTCGTATTCCGCTTGGGAACCCTGCAGCCCAATGGTATCAATGTGGATTTCACAAGTTTCAAAATCTCCCTTTCCCCTCCCGCATCCCAAAACCAGTCCAGCTCGTCCCTGCCTCCCTAACCTGTTCTTCCTCCCACCTCAAGCCGCACCTCCATCTCCTACCGACCAACCTCATCCCACCCCCTTGACCTGTCCGTCCTCCCTGGACTGACCTATCCCCTTCCTAACTCCCTACCTACACTCACCTTTACTGGCTCCATCCTGCCTCTTCGACCTGTTTGTTTCCTCTCCACCTATCCTCTCCTCTATCCCTCTTCTATCCGCCTCCCACTCTTTCCCTATTTATTTCAAAACCCCCTTCCCCTCCCCCTTTTCTGATGAAGGGTCTAGGCCCGAAACGTCAGCCTCTCTGCTCCTATGATGCTGCTTGGCCTGCTGTGTTCATCCAGCCCTGCACCTTATTACATACAGACAGCTTTTTTTTTAAAAATAATTTTAATTAGGTCACTAGAAATTAAGTCTCAAATTGTCTCCCTTTTAAGGCATAAATACAACTAAGTTCTACTGGCAAAAGGGACTTGGTTAACTGTAACTAGAACTTGCTTCTATCAAATTTGCATGAACCCAAATATTGAAATTATTACTTACTGGTCGCTCAACCAAGTCATCCCTACGTATAATCTCAGGAGGATAGGCACCACCCCGAATTCGTATATTGTACCAATGCGCCTAGAAAGCAAGATGAGAATCAACCAAAAAGACTCCTAATTATCTATAATCAGGTCAACACTATCAAAAATTAAATACATAATTTACTTGAACGAAGCTTTCAAACGTTGCATCACTCAGGTGTCATCTAACTACATACAACTACCTTTGATTCTCGTAGCAAACATCTAACAGGAGTCACGAGTGGGACATGAACACTAGAATAAACTTCAGGAACTAGACTTTTATCCTTAAATCTATGTGTGAGAGAAAGGAATCTGTCCCATGTGTCCAAGTTATTTAAAATCAAAAGGGAGACTTAACCTAAGGAATGCTTTCATGTACTACAGGTTGCTCACTCAAACTCTCGCAACAAGACTGGGAACAGGTTATCATCTGACGTCTGGGCCACAAATTGTACAAGTCCCAAAATGTGTGTTCGTTTGGGAGGATGGGAAGGAATTCACAATTTCACAGAAATTGTGAAACAAGTTCGAGTTTCAAATTCAGTTTACACTTTTCATCATCCCAGGGAAATCATTGCTTTATATACAGTTGGTAAAAAGCAAAAAATTCTAAAATATACTTATGGTACTTGTGGATAGGAGGATGCTGCCACAACTCCTCTTTCCTTGACAGCATCTGAGGGCCTATTTGGTTTACAATGGTAGAGGAGCAACCACTGGTGAGTTTTAACAAGGAGAATTTCCTATATTAACGGGAAGCAGCTTCTGCCATGATTTCTATTAGGTTAAAAAAAAAATTACATTAGCTAGTTAGAAATCATTACCATGGGAACAATCTACCCAACCCCTGAATGACATGGGCAAAGGAAGTTGAGAAAATTGAGAGAGATGGGTCATGACGAGTCATCTTGCTGGGAACTGAAAGTCCCATTTTCATTCAAGTATTGAATAATGAGATGAGATTCTTGAATGATGAGATGAGATTCTTGCTCATGAGTGGAGAGAAATCCAGTTGCATCCTCATTATAATACTATCTCATCTCAATGATATGCAGTTTTCCATTTTCCTAGCCGCTGCACAGAAAGGTGACAATTCCTGAAATGAATGCTAAAGTGGTAACCTGGCACACCAGCTTGCCGCCTGCTCCGCTGGACTTACAGTTATCAACATCTCAGGGCACGCTCCAGGGGCAGCAACTGCACGCATCCCCTGTCAGCAAAGTGGGGTGCCACATACCCTCTTCCTTCCTGGCTCACCAAGTGGGCAGCACGGTGGCTCAGTGGTTAGCACGGCTGCCTCACAGCGCCAGGGACCCGGGTTCAATTCTACACCTTGACGACTGTCTGTGTAGAGTTTGCACATCCTCCCCGTGTCTGTGTGGGTTTCCTCCGGGTGCTCTGGTTTCCTCCCACAGTCCAAAGATGTGCAGGCTAGGTGGATTGGCCATGCTAAATTGCCCGTAGTGTTCAGGGATACGTAGATTAGGTGGGTTATAGGGGGATGGGTAAGGGTGGGATGCTCTGAGGGTCAGTGTAGACTTGTTGGGCCAAAGGGCCTGTTTCCACATTGTAGGGATTCTATGATCTATAATCTGGGGCAAACAAAACAAATTGTGCAGTGTGGGTGCAGGTTACTAGCATTTGACTAAGTGTATAGTTGGTCTTCCAAGACGATGTTAGGAATTCCAGATGTCCTAGCAATTGCTAGTACTTCTACCTGTGGCAAGTAGGAAGACACGATGAGTGAGTGGTCCATCGTTAACAAGGTGAGTTTGGGTAGATACTGAAAGAAAACTTGTGATAGCTCATAGAGAAACTCTCCATTGAACTTGCCATAAGTCACTTAGTCAATTTCGGGTAAGATTCAGTTCCAAAGCTTTGCAAAACACATGACATATTTGTATTCTTCAACATCCAGAGCTATTCCTCAGTTTACTCACTCAAGACAGTAGGACATTAAATATCATACATAATAATCCTTAATCTGGTAATGCGATCAGAATTATGATTATTTGATAATCAGTTGAAATTTAATACACAGCTTCTAACATTAACCCTTTCAGAACCATTACCAAGTACAATAGTACTCACCACTTGAATCTTCAAATCAATAGATACTCGAACGTGATAGGGGACATCATATTCTCGGATGTCAATTATGTTTTCCATTTGATCAGAAATTTTTTTGGATGTTCCTTCCTCTTCAGTCACATTGCCCCCAGCCAAGGCACTATCATTACAAACAAATAATCACCAAATGTAGCAAGATTTGCCATTAGATATTATTCAGTGCAAGAATAACTTTACTGAAATTTACCTGATCAATGAGGATTCAGTTTTGTATTAATAAACAGTAAACATACCAGAAAAATTCTCTCTACAAAGCATGACAATCTTTTATTTATTGGAGTTTCACCCAGCAAAATCACTTTCCATCCTACTAAGCCCAGATAATTTCACAGAAAGGTTGGCTACCCTATCCTAATTACTAAGATCTTTCAGGAAAACAGGAAGAGCGAAGAAAAATCTCAGTGTAAAGCACCATCATACTGCACGTTACAATTTTAATAGCATAAAATGGACCGTGCATATATTTTGCCTTTTTCAGCTCTTTTGCACAGTTGCACGTAAAATTGTTGATTGTAAGGAAGCTCTGCTGTCAGAAACAATCAACAGAAAGAAGAGCTCTGAAACAGTTTATCAGATATCAGCACTTATTGCAAAGTTGAACTGAAGCAGGTCATAAGATTCATTTAGCTTTTGGTGTTAATATTAACAATGGATTCAACAAAATAGAGGGGGGAAAACATTGCAAGTCATTAATTTTAAAACTACTTTTTATCCCCCATTCGCTCTTAACACTCAAGTCAGACACTGGGTAATGTTGCAGCCAAGAAAGTGAACAAATTATGTCTTAAATTGTAACTTCTATACATATTGTACAAACCCAGTGTCTTCCTGAAGGTTTCAGTACCATTTATCAAACCCCAGACTTTAGCGTACTTGACAAATTCCAAGAATGTGCTCCACATGTCCAGGCTTAAATCAATGTATACGAAGAAAAATTGAACCATTATTTATCCAACATACACACTACAGCTGCTCTCAAAAAAAAAGCAACAGCTATTTACCTAATTGTGTTCCTGGTCTGTCAACTAATTTTTAAAAAGCCATAGAACTTTGGTTGCATTGATGTTGGCAGTCACCAGCAGGTGCTAAACCAACTCACTTGTGGGCAAGTGTTCTTCACCTTCTTTTGTAGCCACTGACAAAGCTATAATGCAATGTTCAGCAGTAGTAACTCAATGCTCTCTTCAAATCACTGTTACACAAGTGCACAACCATAGAATACCGTAAATCTCTAAACTCCTTTCTTGGAGTAGTTTATTTTGGTTTTCAAACAATGAAATACAAATCAGAACATACAAAAAAAAATCTTGAATTGAATACAATACCTTTCAAAGCTGCAAGACATCCCAAAATACATGTTATGAATAAAGTGTAGTCATTGTTGTACTGAGGAAACACAGCAGCCACTAGGCACATTGAACTCCCACAAACACCAATAGGACAAATTTATTTTTGTGATGCCAATGAGGGATAAATATTCACCACGATATTGGGGTGACTCCCTATATCATCTTTTTTGAAAATGTTCCATGGAATCTTTTACGGCCACATGACAATTCAGTTAGGGCCTCGATTAAGGAACTGAATTCTCCAAACATGCTTCTTATTGTAGCAGAATTGTTCTGATCAGACAAAATGTTTCCAAACAAAGACCCTTTGTTTTGAAATGGGACAAAACTGAAAGCATGATTAGCTGTTACTTACATTCCAGGCTGTAAACTGACCAATATCTGAACTGAGGGATTGATCCTTGATGCAGAAAAATATTTACGATGTTTTGATATTTATCCTGGCAGTCTATTAGACCCCTAATCAGAACCCAAGGGTGTTACTTCTTTAATACTAGGTTTGAAATAAACAAGAAACTGCAGGAGATGGGAAGCCAAGAATAGCAGCATTGTGACAATGAAAAGACAACATAAAACATCAATGGTGACATTACCTGGATAACATGACAGTATAGGCATCATTTGATTTCTCTCTTTCTTTATTTTTCTTAACAGCTGTGGAAATCTCCTTTCGTACTTTTATCAGGTCATCAACTGTATTAAAAGCGAGTTTAACGTAGAGTCTCTTCAAGCCAACCAAGTGGTTAGGCTGTAGAGAAGAAAGAAATTTGAAAGATTAAGTTATTATTACCCAAACTTTTTTTGGGGGGGCCAGGGTAAGAAAAAACAGTAGAAGAACAGAAACTCACCAGATCCAAATCCTCTTTTGGAATGGTTGATATTTTACTTATTTTGCCTTGAAATTTTTTGGACAAGAATGATGAAACCTCTCGTTCACAGCCCTTTTTTTTTTTAAGAGAGAAAAAGAAAGTTATTCTCATCACAACTTACTCTACACTTTAATTATAATTGTTTTCAATATAAAAACATTTTAACACGCATTGAGGTGATTACTCTCCAAGTCCTGTTCTTCAGAACTGTTTTGTCCAAATACAGGGCCGGCTTATTCAGAACAGCTATTCGTACTCAGTCAGCTCAAATTAAGTTGGCTTCATGTACAAGTATTTACATTTCGTGTTTAGACTTCAAAAGTTAAAAGCATAAAAAGTTGCAGGTACACTTTTGTACAAAGCACATTCGTGCAAAATATCTTATGATATACATATTTGACTTATTTCCAATTTTTTGGTTAATTCAGGGGTGATCTTCTACAAACCTTTTTTGTTGCGACATAGAAATAGGGTTCAAAAGGTAGAGCAACCTGAAAAAGAAGAACATTTAATAAAATAGTGTTTTATGCTTACTTGAAATGCTTGTCAAAGAAAATGCATACTTTGGTTGTGTGCTCACAAAGGACGACAGTCATAGAGATGCGCGGCATGGAAATAGACCCTTTGGTCTAACTTGTCCACGTTGACCAGATATTCTAAATAAATTGAGGTGGGGGGAATGTGCAATGAAGCCTGGATGTCCTCATATAACAGTCACTGAAGGTCAGCACAAGGGTGCAGCAGGCAGTCAAGAAGGCAAATGGTATGTTGGCCTTCATAGCAAGATGATTTACATACGGGAGCAGGGATGTCTTACTGCAATTTATACAGGGCCTTGATATATGGACATATAAACACCATGGCTACAACAGCAAGTCAGAGACTGGGAGTAATTCACCTGCTTACTCGCCAAATTCTGTTCACCATCTACAAGACATAAGTCATAACTTTTTTTTAAATTCACTCATAGGACATGGGCATCATTGGCTAGCCAGCATTTACTGCCCATCCTCGTTGCCCTTAAGGTGGTGGTGGCAAGCTGCCTTAATGAACCACTGTAGTCCATACTGGAGATTGACCCACAATGTCCTTAAGGAGAGAATTGCAGGATTTTGAACCAATGACAGTGAAGGAATGACAACATACTTCCAAGTCAGGAAGACTGGAGGGGAACTTGCAGATGTTTCCATGTATCTGCTGCCCTTGTGCTTCAAAGTGGAAGTGGTCATGGGTTGGAAGGTGCTGTCTAAGGATCTTTGGTGAATTCCTGCAGTGCATCTTATAGATAGCACTCATTGCTGCCACTGAACACGGTCATGGAAAGAGCGGATGCTTGTGGACGTAATACCAGTCGAGTGGGTTGCTTTGCCCTTGATGGTGTCAAGCTTCTCAAATGTTGTTGGAGTTGTCCCCATCCAGGTAAGTGGGAAGTATTTCATTACACTCCTGACTTGCTCCTTGTAGCTGGTGGATAGGCCTTGGGAGGCAGGTGGTGAGTTACTCACCACACTATTTCTAGCCAAGGACCTGCTCTTGTAGCCACTGTAATTATTTGGGGTGTCCAGTTGAGTTTCTACTAACCCCAGGAATGTTGATGGTGGGGGACTCAGTTATAGTAACACCAATGAATGTCAGGGGGTGGTGTTTAGATTGTCTGTTATTTGAAAAAAGTGGCTATTTCCTGGCATTTGCATGGCACAAATGTTACTTGCAACTTGCCAGCCCAAGCCTGGATATTGTCCAGATCTTGCTGCATTTGAACATGGACTGCTACAGTATCTGAGGGGTCTCGAATGGTACCGAACATTGTGCAACCTTGGCAAACATCCTTATTTCTGAGCTTATGATAGAGGGAAGGTCATTAATGAAGCAGCTGAAGATGGTTGGGCCTAGGACACGAGCCTGAAGAACTCCTGTGGAGATGTCTTGGCGCTGAGATGACTGACCTCCAACAACCACAAATATCCTACGGTATGACTCTAGGTCTGACTCCAACCAACATAGGGCTTGCCCCTGATACCCATTGATTATTGTTTTGCTGGAGCTCCTGGATGCCACATCTGTCAAATGCAGCCTTGATGTCAAGGGCTCTCTCTCTCTCTCTCACACCTCACCTCTGGAATTCAGCACTTTTGCCCATGTTTGAACCAAGGCTGCAAATGAGGACACCAGTTGAGTGGGCTTGGTGGAACCTAAACTGGTGCCACTGAGTAGGTTATTACCGAGAAGCTGCTGTTTGATAGCACTGTTGATGACATCTTCCATCACTTTACTGTGACATACTCTCTATTTGCCTAGCTGACAGCTCCAACATTCAAAAGGCTCAACACCATCCACCATCAGGGAATAAGCAACTCACTTGATGCGCTTCTCATCCATCATTCGGTCAAATCCCTAGAGGTCTATTCGCAACAGCACTTTGGACACAGCTGTACCAAATGGACTGCAGCAGTTCAAAAAAGCAGATGACAACCACCATCAAGAGCAATTAGGGATGGGCAACAGATAGTCTAACTAGCAACATGCACATCCCATGAAGGAGAAAAAAAAAATCCTTACATAAATTGTTACACACCTTGAATCTGCTCCCATCCTCTTCAATAAAATAATAATCCACAGCACTGATCAATCTCTTGTCTTCATCCAGGAGTTCTGCCTGTAAATCAAAATCAGCACACAGAGCAAATAAATGTGGCAATTTACAAATACATAAAAATAAGTCATGTCCAATAACTTTATACAAATGCATGCAAATTATGATTCCCCGAATAGCTTGAAAGATTAACAGGCACTAAACCACATGGAACATATTTGAGAAACCTACATCATCAATATATCACAATACCAAAGATTAAAAGTACAGCTCTTCCCTGGGTTGCAAGCAGGTTCCCTTCTACAGTCCATTCACAAGTCAATTGGTATACAAGTCAAAACACAAATTCGGAATAATAGTTAGATGGCCAATCATAAGCACAGGAAACGTTTGTATGTCAGATCGTTAAAATTACACCCCTGTTTCGGATTATATTTGTAAGTACAAACACTTAAGTCAGGCATTCGTAAATCAGGGCCCCTGCTGGAAAGTGATTGTTTCAAAGTGAAACAAGGTTAACTTAATAGGATAACTGACTGGGTGCATGTTGATAAGCCAACCAGTCTTCTCGCCTGGATCTTTGAGACGGTCAAACCCAAATCGTGCATCCATCTCATCTGTCCACTGACTGCGCTCCAGGCGCTTGAGTGCAGGAAGGGAGGAGCCATCCTCACTGTGAGAGCAAAAGCACAAGAGATACATTTAAATCATCTGCAAAAGGGCATTTCATCATTAACAGATGAATGGACTAATGTTTAATTGCTCCTGCTACCATGGATTCAAGGAAATTCCAATCTTGCACTACAACAACTAACACACTTTAAAAGAACTACAGTGGCTGCAAAATACTTAGGGACATAGTGAGGCCATGGAAAGAATTACAAAAATGTAAATCTTACTTCATTCACATAAAAATTAATTGACATAATAAATTTGAGTATTCTATTCTGTTTATGACTAATCAATGCTAATGTGCTGACGCAAACAATAATTCAGAGGTTTTATACCTAGTAGTATCAAGAACTGATAAAAGGTTGTTGTCCTGAAACGCTAATAGATTCTTTCTCCATTGCTGCTACCTGACCCAAGTGCATTACAGCATCTTGTTCTTTCATTGTGAATGTTGAAAATAATTTTTAGTCAGGATGAGCACAAATGCAAGAACCTTGGAAAGGAAAACACAGCGGTAGATGGAACTACAGATCAAGTCAAATTTGGTCAATGATTTCATTTTTAAATTTGAGGATAATGACTAAACAATACAACTCTAAAAGGGCAGAAGAACGGAAACATGAGAATTCACATACACAAATCTTTTAAGCTAGTATGACACGTTAACAAGGCTTTAAAAGAAAGCGCAAACAGGATCCTGGGTTTTAATAAATGAGGCATACAGCATAGACAAAAAAGGTTTAGTAAGGTAAGTTTTCTGAAGAAGGGTCTAGACCTGAAACGTCAGCTTTCCTGCTCCTCTGATGTTGCTTGGCCTGCTGTGTTCATCTAGCTCTACACCTTGTTATCTTAGTAAGGTAAGTCACTGGCTCAGGACCAAACTAGAGGTCCAATGCTGTCATAATACTTCAGAAAGGCTGCAGCAATTTATGCATAGTGCCAGGGTGAAAGGATTACATTTTGGCAAAAAACTAGAGTCTAAGATTATTCTCCTTAAAGCAGAGAAGAGTCAATCCTCATGTTCAAAACGAATAAAGGTGGAAAAATCCCCTGGACCCGATCAGGTGTATCCCAGAACTTTGTGGGAAGCCAGGGAAGTGATTGCTGGGCCCCTTGCGGAGATATTTTTATCATCCATAGTCACAAGTGTGATGCCAGGAGACTAGCTAATGGGTGCCAACGTTTAAGAAACGTGGTAAGGAAACGCCAGGGAACTACAGACCAGTGAGCCTGATGTCAGAGGTGGGTAAGTTGTTGGAGGGGATTCTGAGGGACAGGATTTACAGGTATTTGGAGAGACAAGGACTGATTAGAGATAGATAACTTGGCTTTGTGCGTGGAAAATTGTGTCTCATTAACTTGGCTGAGTTTTTTTGAAGAAGTGACAAAGAAGATTGAAGAAGGCAGAGCGGTAGATGTCGTCAAACGCCTTAATGAAATCCATGTAAACAAGATTCCACATGATAGACCGTTAGCAAGGTTGGATCACATGGAATCCAGGGAGAGCTAGTCATTTGGATACAAAATTAGCTTGAAGGTAAGAGACAGAGGGTGGTGGTGGAAGGCTGTTTTTCAGACTGGAGTCTGTGACCAGCGGTGTGCCGCAAGGATTGGTGCTGGGTCCGCTGTCATTTTTATAAATGATTTGGATGTGAATATAGGAGGAATGGTTATGTAAGTTTGCAGATTACACAAAAATTGATGGCGCAAATGCAATTTAATTTAAATAAATGCAAGGTGTTGCATTTTGGTGAGGCAAATCAGGGCAGGACTTGTACACTTAATGGTAGAGTCCTGGGGAGTGTGGCCAAACAAAGAGACCTTGGGGTGCAGGTTCACAGTTCCTTCAAAGTGGAGCCACAGGTAGACAGGGTAGTGAAGGAGGTGTTGGTAGGCTTGCCTTTATTGGTCAATGCATTGAGTACAGGAGTGGGAAGGTCATGCTACGGCTGCAGAGAACATTGGTTAGGCCACTTTTGGAATACTGCATTCAATTCTGGTCTCCCTGCTATAGGAAGGATATTGTTAAACTTCAGAGGTTCGGAAAAGATTTACAAAGATGTTGCTGGGGTTGGAGGGTTTGAGCTATAGGCAGAGGCTGAGACTATTTTCCCTGGAGTGTCAGAGGCTTAGGGGTGACCTTATAGAGGTTTATAAAATCATGAGGGGCACAGATAGGGTGAATAGCCAAGGTCTTTTCCCCAGGGAAGTCTAATACTTGACGGCATAGGTTTAAGGTGAGAGGAAAAAGATTTAAAAGGGACCTAAGGGGCAAATTTTTCACAGAGGGTGGTGCGTACATGGAATGAGAGGCCACAGAAAGTGGTGGAGGCTGGTACAATTACAACATTTAAAAGATATCTGGATGAGTGCGTGATTAAGAAAGATTTAGAGGGACATGGGGCAAATTCTGGCAATTGGGACTAGATTAATTTAGGACATCTGGTCAGCATGGAGGAGTTGGACTGAATGGTCTGTTTCCATGCTGTACAACCCTATAACTATGTCAGTTTTTGATAGAGTAGACTGATACTGCTTGCACTAGCAATAGGTTCAGGAACTGAAGGCTACACAGCTAGAATAATTGGCAAAAAGATCAGTTAGGAGATTAAAAAAAACTGTTAAAATTAATACAGCAAGTTACTGCCTGAATCACAGGTGGAAGCAGATTTAAGAATATCTTTCAAAGGGTATTAGTTTCTACTTGAAATACTTGAAGTCACATGGGAGCAAGAGCAGGAAAGAGGAACAATTTGAATGCTGAAGAATCACCACAGACATGCTGAGATGATAGAAATCTCTCACACAGAAATAGGCATGATGTCCATTTTAAAAGTGGCAAGATAGCCTGAGGGTAGCACTTTTCAACATTGACTAAGCAAAGTTTTAGTGCTGAGAAGTAACACATGATTTAGAACTACTGTCTTTTGACACTATGTGAAAGTGAGGATTTCAATGACATGATATTGAAGGCATGGAGCTACCCCAACCGTGAATTCAATCTTCAATTAATTGACCATTATTAAAATGATAATATTCAATACTTCTTCAAAGCCTCAGATTTTAAGGATTATGGAAAATATTGGTTTATTTCAAATTTTGACTACCTGAGGTGGTTTCTTTAAAAAAAAATCATCTTAAACAAAGCTTCTTGGAACTCAAGAGCTGTTTGCATTTCCACAGACCCTTGCTGAGGCTGTTTTGAACTGCAATTTGGCTTGGAGACTTTCTGTTTTTATATCTGGAATTCCTTCCTTAACAGCATTGTGGGTCAACCTACAGTACATGGAGTCAAGCTGCCACTACCCTCCAGGGGACTACTAGGCACAGTTAATAAATGTTGGTTCAGCCAGCGACACTCACATCAGTGAAAGAATTTTTTAAAAAATATTTAATTGGTCATCTTTGAAACTGAAAAAAACTTTTTTGTTGCGATCTGTGAAGTTGTGTGAGTAGAGCAGCAGTGCTCAACTCTTCAACTGCAACACCCATCAAAATGATTTTACTGATCACATTTATCACATTACTGCGGAGAACAGAACAGTCTGAGAAGCATTTTGAGAAATCACATTCCCAAGGCTCCATACATCAATCCATCATAAACCCTGCTCATATCCTATTCCACAGCTGGCCCCATTGCCCACTTTAGCATAATCGAAAACTCGTTAAAACACATCAGAATGCATATTATTTATCTCTTAAAATTTAGTGTTTTCTTTAATTCTAGGGATTTGAGGAAAGATTACTTTACAAATTTTTGATTTAAAATTCCACTAACAGGCCAGACCTACATCAGAATTAAATAAGCATAATTACAAACAGGCAGCACCAAAACCCACTTCGTAGATTCATGAATAGGCTCATCCGGTTTCTTCGGTGCAACAATCTTTCCTTCACTCAAATCAGAAAATAATCCAATGACACTCAAATTATTTAGAAGTCTTCGCACAATCTCACACGCAGAAGAGAGCGGCAGACACAAGATATGTAAATTGCATACATTAAACGTTTCCTAGATATTGAAGACTCGAACGCTGGGCGATTTTTAGTTTCAACGATCGATTGCTGGTAGAGGCAGCACAAAATAAGGTAGCGGTGGGGATCGGAACGACGAATAATCTACACTTGCCCACTGCAATAACAGTGAAATAAGGCAATCAGACCGAACGAGAACACAAAACACCGAAAACAAAAAGTGCTGGAAATTCGATCGGATCTGGCAACAGCCTTGGGGAGAGAGCAAACTAACGTTTCATGTCTAGATGAGCTCTGAAGAGTCATCTAGACTCGAAACGTTAGCTTGCTCTCTTCCTACAGCGCTCTCTAACTCGCTGCGATTTCCAGCACTTTTTGTTTTCAGTACAGATTCCAGCACCTGAAGTAATTTGCTCCGAGAACACAGCACCAACTGGAAATGCGGTATACTGAGTGGCCAGCCTGCAATAACTGAAAGGCCTGCTTGATGTCAATGTTATTGTTATGCAGTGCTGGTGTGTTTCTGACTAGAGACGTCCTTCGTCTCCCAGGAACTATAGCTAAAACTTGTTGCTAAGTAGTTATATTCATCGGTCGCCGCCAACGAACAATGTTGAGACTCACGAATTGCTGGTGTCGGCTACCGGCCGTCTCTCAGCTCTGAGCTTCCCGCTGTTCTGCAGCACCATGTCTACGACTCATTCACTCAATTCGCGCGCTCTAGTATCTCTCGCGAGATCTGACAACAGCATCACCGCGAGATCTACCACGCGCATACTGATTGGACAATATCGGAAAGTTTCTGATTTGATGAAAGAGCGGAAAAACGTCTTGACCCCGCCCACTTCATACCGTACGTCTGAGAGTAAAAGGGCAGCTGTGGTGAAGTAAATCTTCATTGGAAGGCATCTTATTGATAGCTGTCTGCATTGATTTCAGTGACAGGTTTTCCCTCCCTGATTTGGCTATAGACATTGATTGTTCAATTAGTGGTGTTTGGATTGTTTTGAATTTGTGAATGGGCGCAGTAATAGGATGAGGACTCATAATCTGCCTTTTCTTGAAAAATAAAATCAGATAATACTGGAAATAACCAGTGGTTCACACAGCAACTGTGGAAAGAGAAACAGTGCAGAATTATTTTTTCAGGTAGTTGGGACATCATGTTGCATCTGGATAGGGCGTCAGTGAGGCTACTTTTGGAGCACTGTGTACAGTTCTGGTTGCCCTGCTACAGGAAGGATATTTTTAAATTGGAGAGGGTTCAGAAGAGACTTACAAGGGTGTTGGGGGTGACTGGAGGGTTTGCGTTATAAGGAGAGGCTGGAAAGGCTGGGTCTTTTTTCACTGGAGCATAGGCGGTTGAGGGGTGACCTTATAAAATCATGAGGAGCATAGATAAGGTAAATAGTGCAGTGATTGTAACAGGTGGACCTCATTGAATAGGAGTTCCCTGATTGGGATGGTTAATCTGGTCAAATCAAGGAGCTCAGGCTGACATGTATAAACAGGAATGACAGATGTTCTGTTCACTCTTGAGAGCTGCCTCAGTATCAAGGATTCTCTACATATAAGTAAAGGGTGATTTGGTGACGGCACATCAGCCTCTGTGGAGGTATTTCAGTGGCGAGGAGAGAAAAGCATACTCCTGAAGAAATTTACTTGCAAGTCATCTTTGAGCTGGGGCACGTGTTTCTGGCATCGTACCATTATTTGGGAAGCTTGACGCATTTGATCCTGCCATCAAAGACTGGACCTAGAATCTGGAAAGAATGCGTTACTTTTTCCAGGCAGTGACATTGGGGCAGGTGAAAAGCAACGAGTGATTCTCCTGACAGCTTGTGGACTCGCAGCTTTTTCGGTTATTAAATCCGAAAACTCTTGAAAGGTTTTAGTATCTGTTGCCACTTTTAAAATGGACATCATGCCTATTTCTGTGCGAGAGATTCCTATCATCTCAGCATGTCTGTGGTGATTCTTCAGCATTCAAATTGTTCCTCTTTCCTGCTCTTGCTCCCATGTGACTTCAAGTATTTCAAGTAGAAACTAATACCCTTTGGAAGATATTCTTAAATCTGCTTCCACCTGTGATTCAGGCAGTAACTTGCTGTATTAATTTTAACAGTTTTTTAATCTCCTAACTGATCTTTTTGCCAATTATTCTAGCTGTGTAGCCTTCAGTTCCTGAACCTCTTGCTAGTGCAAGCAGCTTCAGTCTACTCTGTCAAAAACTGACATAGTTATAGGGTTGTACAGCATGGAAACAGACCATTCAGTCTAACTCTTCCATGCTGACCAGATGTCCTAAATTAATCTAGTCCCAATTGCCAGAATTTGCCCCAGGATCCAGGCTGGACACCATTGTAGGTGTTGCCATGGACCTGAAACAGCAAAAAGATCCCACTAGACCTAAATGTAGTATGTGAACTCATAGGCTAATATCCAGGAGAGTGCACATCCTAGAAAATCTACTTAGGTCTGGTTTGTAACAGTTAAATTGCTTATCAACATCCAAATCAGAACCAATCAAAATAAATATTTGGTTAAATGGTCACCTGGTTCTAATGGAGGTTGATATTGGTTCAGCCATTTCAGTGATCGCAGGACCAGTCTTTAACAAAATTTGCTCTGGTCTCCAAACTCTTAAAGCTGCACAAATCCTCAAGTAGACTGAGAACCTTTATAGATTAAGGGTACAACATCGGTTCCAGTCTCTTATGAAAAGCAGCTGGTTCAGTTACCACTGCTTGTAGTAGTAAAAGGCTTGGGCCCAAGCTTGATGCGGTGAAATTGTTTGAGAACGATTCACTTAGTTTGGCTCAACATTTCTTGATTAGAAAATGGCTGGCTGAATGAAGTCCTAATTAGATACCCGGAGGATTTTCGGGAAGGTCTAGGCACTATTGAAGGAGCCAAGGCCACCTTGCATGTTGACCAGCGAGCAATTCCATGATTTGCAAAATCCGCCCAGTGCCACTTGCCTTATGGGCAAAAGTAGATGCAGAAATCAGAAGGCTGGAAAGTGAAGGAATCATCAAATCACTCCAGTTTGCAGAATGGGCAGTACCGATAGTGAAGCCCGATGGGTCAGTTTACCTTTGTGGGGATTTTAAACAAATGGTAAACTGCTTTTTGCAGCTGGATAAATACCCAATCCCTCGCATAAAGAATTTATATGCACAGCTGGTGTTGGTGGCAGGGTGGGGAATCATGTCCTTCACATGGACATGAGCCATGTATACTTGCAATTGCAGTTAGGTGAGGATTCCCAGAAGTATGCTACTATTAATACCCATAAGGGTTTGTACCAATATGAGAGACTGCCATATGGAGTATCTTCAGCCTGTGCAACTTTTCAGTGGACGATGGAGAACATTGTATGAGGTCTACCCCAGGTTGCCTTTTATCTAGATGACGATCTAATAACAGGGAAGACCGATTAGGAGCACTTAGAGAACTTGGACATAGTCCGATGTTTCGCCAAGACAGGCATATGCCTTAGAAGGGAAAAATGCATGTTCCAGGCACCCCAAGTGACCTACTTGGTCGACAGAGTCAACAAGACTGGGCTATACATGTTGGAAGATGAAGTGAGGGTGATCAAAGGTACCCCAGGTCCCACGTCTGTACCAGAGCTTAGGTGTTTCATTGGGCTGGTGAATTATTACAGAAAGTTCATGCATAACCTGGCCTCCATCCTTGCACTTTTGCAACAACTCTTCAAAAAGGGTCAGCCTTGGAAATGGTTGTGTAGCCAAACCGTAGCTTTTGGGAAATAAAGAAACAGCTATTACCCTCTATGGTGTTGGCACACTATGATCCCAAGCAAGATCTGCTATTGACATGTGGTGCCTCCCCGTAAGGCATCGGGGTAGGTAGGCTAGGCCAATGAAGAGGAACACCCAATAGCGTTTGCATCCAGGACTTTAGCTAATGCAAAGTGTAAAAACGCTCAAAAGGAAGGTTCAGCGGTCATATTTGGAGTAGGAAGTTGCATCAATACCATTATGGATGTAAATTTGTGATAATAATGGACTACAAACCCCTCAGGCTGAATTCAGCAGTGGGCTCTAATACTAAACACGTATAATTACAAGTTCGAGCACTGTCCAGGAGGCCAAATAGCAAATGCGGATGGTTTTGGACTCTTCCCACTGGCAGATGCAGTGTTGGTGGTACTGCCACTGGAAGAGTCCATAATAGTTTTAAATTTTCTGGACACATTTCCAGTCACAACTGACAGTATCAGACTTTGAACGCAGAAAGATTGACAAAATTGCAACAGCTGGTGGTGAAGGAGGAAACCAAAGGCCATCACAACCAGAATTGAAATAATTTTGGACCCAGAGAGAGCAGATCACAGTAGAGGATGACATTATTATGGGAGCAAGAGTGATTGTACCTGACCAAAGGTTGCTACCCAATATTGGCTGAACTCCACCAGGGTCATTCAGGGGTTTCCAAAATGAAGATAGTAGCAAGCACTTATGTCTGGTGGCCAGGACAAGATGCAGATAGCTGCATTGGTGAGGCAGTGCCCAGAGTGCTAACAAGGACAAAAATTACTGCCAGCAGCTCCCCACTTTTGTGGGTATGGCCAGGTAAGCCCTGGACTCATGTCGAGTATGCAGTATCCTAGGCTCAACATTCTTAGTCATTGTGGATGCCCACTCAAAGTGGCTGGGCATGCATAAAGTTCATTTGTCAAACAAGGGGATGACAACAGAAAAACTGCATGCATCTTTTGTAATGCAAGGACTTCTGGAAGTGTTGATCACAGATGATAGGCCATCGTTTACAAACAGGGAATTTGAGTATTTCCTAAGGTCAAATGATATTCATCATATAAGGACAGCTGCATATCATCCATCATCCAATGGTCTGGTCCAAACTTTGAAGACAGGCTTAAAGCTTAAAGAAACAGCCTACAGCTTCACTTGATATCAAACTGTCCTGGTTCTTATTTGAATATAGGACCACCCCTGCCCCCAATACCCCATTCAACTACAGGGATAGCTCCACCAGAGTTGGGGGAGGTCGAAACAGCGTCAGGAACGCCAGGGCTGGACACAAGACTCTGCTAAGCAATAGAGACAGTTTACTTCAGGGGACAAAGTTTGATGTACGAACCACGGGAATAATCCTGCATGGGTAAGAGACACGGTTGACGTGAGGTCAGGTCCAGTGATGCATACAGTTTGGATAGGAGTCATGATCCTGAAAAAGCACATGGACCTTATGAAAGCTGCAAACTTGTAAGCGGTGCAGGAGCAAAATGTGCCCAGCTCCTCAATGGCTTTTCTGACTGTTCCAGAACCAGTGGCGTCTCCCTCTGCTGAATCTGAATCTGAGATGTACACAGCAGATGCCGCTATCTCAATGCATTTGCCACCTGAAGAGGAGAATGAATTTCTTCCAAGATGTGGCACAAGAGGCGAGCTACTGTGCGTTAGACACTACCCATATCAGAGGCAGATTTGCAGGAACCTGGCCTGGTGCTAAACCGCCCCAAGAGGAGCTAAAAGAATGAACTGGTCTACGACCTTGGACACAGATGGGGAGGGATGCAATGATTGTAACAAGGTCACACAGGGGGACCTTATAGGATATGAGTTCCCTGATTGGACCAGATTAACAGCCCTAATCAGGGAGCCCTGGCTGACAGATATAAACAGAAGTGACAGTGGTTCTGTTTATTCTGAGAG